TTATGTGAAATGACATCAGCGTGCTTTAGTACTGCATCCATACTAAACGTGTATATTGTGTAAGGAGAATTGAGCTTTACTTTACAAATTTTAAATTCAAATAGTTTTTTGTTGTGATCAACTTACTTGCTCTCGCACTGCGTGCATTTGTGTCTGAAGTCATCGGGGTGAGCGTGATTTCTCGCTGCGTGGCGATCCCTGATGCGTTCAGAGATGAAATTGCGGTGGCATACCGAACATTGGAACGGCTTTGAGGTGCTGTGAGACTGTAAAAGAGATTTTTTATTTATATTTTTAGTAATATCATTTGACGAGACGGACAAGTAGTGCGCTAGGTGAAGGTAAGCTACACGCCTGTCCATAACAGGTACAGTGCCACTCAGAGCTTTAAATCGCAAAGATGTGAGGGGCATTGACAGTGACAGATTGAACTTGTCTCGCTGCTGTCACCCAGAGACATAAGTTGACAAATCCCATGTGTCTGTAATTTCACTAGCACCCCTCCCGGAAACGGAACACAGTAATGCTCGCATTACTGCTTGGCGGCAGAAACAGGTAAGGTGGCAGTATTTCTCTGGACGAGCTCTTTCACTTTTCTTTTTGTCTCTTTACTGCTATAAAATCGTTTTAATCACATGCGTAGCCTACAAATCTGCTGTGTTATCCTAGTAGGAGAATGGTTGCTGGATTCCAAATTTCTATTAACTAAATAAATGATGATGCAATTTCTTTTCACATAATTATATTTCTAAAGGTATTAGGGAATAAGTTTGATAAGTCTTTACGATACCAAATGACAGGACTGTGTCGTGTGCCTGATGGTAAGGTACACGCCTGTCCGTAACAGTTGCTGTGTCACTCAAGAGCTTTAAAGGTCTGAGGGGCACTGCCACTGCGCCCGTCACCCTGAGACATAACAGGTTACAAGGAGCTCTACTGCTACTAAAATACAAGGATACTTGTTGAAAAATGCTTACCACTTTCAAATGTCGTTTAAGACTGGAGTTGGTCCCGTAACTGGTATTACAGATGTCACAATTGTAGGGCCGTTCGTTTCTATGCGTCCGTTCGTGCACCTGTAATCAAACACACAAGCACTAGTTTATTTCATAGGTAAGCAAATCGCACCCCCCGTGGAAGAATGGCATAAGTGAAGTTGCGTCAAAAATGTTTATTGCTCCGTTGAATACAAATACATTGCATACAGATACAGATTCTTTTTTTGTTGGAAAGTGGGTACCTCAGATGTATGTCCCATTTAAATTTGAAGAAAGTATTCCTCTAAGGGTGACAAACTAGAGGATGACGACTTTTAATACTCTGTACTGAGGTTATTTCTAAACAAATACCGTTCATTTCATATAATTTTTATTTGGACCAATTTCACTTCCTATAATTTATAAGTTCATATAATTATTTCTTCATAACATTCACATTTTATAAAAAATAATCGCTTATTCTCAGTTGTCACCACTTGCTTTGTTCCCACTGGCGACAATTGGGGAAAAATCCCATATGTTACGAGGTGGTGACAAACGGGATAAAAAAATCCCAGTTGTTGCCAGTGGTGATTTCTACTGGCGACAAACGGGATAAAAAAATCTGTTGTTGCCACTGGCGGTAAATGGAGTTTGAAATATCCCAGTAGGTTGCCAGTGGTAAAAAAAAAACCAAATCAAATAAAAAATTTCAATTAATGTAAGTTTATTGCCGCCATCCAAAGTGAATAAAATAAAATTCGAGTTTAATGATAAAAGTATAGATCTTATTAACTCGAATTTCATTTTATTCCCTTTCGATGGCGGCAATAAACTAACACACAGACAAAACAAGAGAATAAACAGATCTTTTTATCCCTTTTTATCCCATATGTTACCACCTGGTAACATATGGGATTTTTTTCCCAATTGTCGCCAGTAGAAATCACCACTGGCAACAACTAGGATTTTTTATCCCGTTTGTCATCACCTGGTAACATATGGGATTATTTTTTACCATTTATCGCCACTGAAAATCAACACTGGTAACAACTGAGACTTTTTTATCCCATTTGTCACCACCTGGTAACATATGGATTTTTTTTCCCCAATTGTCGCCAGTGGGAACAAAGCCAGCCAGACAACTGGGAATAAGCGAAAATAATTATATAAAGCTCATATCATATAACAATCATTTCATATATTGTCTAGTCTAGTTTAGATAAATTTTTACGTGGTATAAAATCGCTTTTCATAAATTATAACTTTAAACCCGACTCGCCATGCTACTTGTCTGTTCGATACTAGGAGTGTAATTTAAAAGCTGGAGGTGCGGAGGGAGGGTTGTTTTCCTTAATATAGTTTACAATGCCGAATCTCAATTTCGACAAAATTATTATTGTTAGACACAGGAATCTTTGGTGGTTTAAATAAAACAAACGTACTTTAGTTGCGGCTCTAATTAAGTAGGTTAGGTTAGAACATGAAAAAGCAGAAACGACTTTGTTTGCTTTTCTGAATATGTTTTCAGGCCAAATTATAATTCATATAATATTAGTGTTAGGACATCGTTTTTCGGATATAATCCTATATCTAGATGAAATGAAATTTAGACAAAATGACGTTATGCTAACTGTGGTTTATAACTTATGATCGAAATTATAGAATGTAAGTTTATATTAAACGTTCGTTATATCAAGAGAATTACTAAATAAAATGAGTCAATAGGTTTTTTTATATTTTTTTTTTTTTTTTTTTTTTTATTGTGACTCGGCAAAATGACTGCACCGCGCCTGATGGAAAGTGCGAATACAGTCCAGAGATGAGAGTAACGGATGGAAAACACAAATATCTTCACTCCGTCACTATCATTTTGCCGGTCTGGCCAAATGCTTCTTCACACTACGTTTGAAGGACCCGATGTCATAGAGGGGAGGGAATACATGCGCCGGGAGTTAAAAAATATAAGTGGGCATTTGACCTCCATCTCACCTAATGGAAAGTCACGATGAGGTCGACGATGGAGCATGCAAACCTAAATAATGCCTATTCATTCTCGCCTTGAAAAGGCCCAAGTTATAACGTTCAGGGAACAAGTCTGCAGGCAGGGAATTCTACTCCATAGCCGTTCGCCATATAAATGTGGAAGCGTAACGCTTCGTGCGAATCTTTGGAATATCCACGACATAGGGGTGGTACCCAAGCCTGCGCCTAGTCCCCCGGTGATGGAAAGGGGAAGGCAGAATTAAATCGTGTAATTCCATCGCACACTCTCCGTGAAATACCGATACGCAGGCAACTTTACGGCGGTGTTCAAGGCTTTGCAGCTTAGCCTCCACTAATTCCGAGTCACTGCCTCCGTGGCCGAACGGTTACCATGCCGGACTGCCACGCAGAGGTCCCAGGTTCGATTCCCGGGCCGGGAGAAATATTTGTATGGCCTACAATTATTTTTCTCGTGAGTTTGGGTGTAATTTGTGGTTGTCTATATGTGTGTCCATGGCACCCGCGACACAGGGTTTCCCTAGTGCGGGGATATGTTGAGTGTGTGCGTTATTTAAAAAAAAAAAAAACCTATATATAAGCCTTTTGGCACGGTTGTCAATTGAATCCACAGTGGCCAGTTGATATGTAGCAGAGCCATCCCATAGGTGGCAACAGTACTTCATGCACGACCGGACTTGTGCTTGGAACAGCTGAAGCAACTGTCCCGGTGTAAATTACTGTCATTAAGCGAGGAGACGCGCGGGGCACGTGAGTTGCCCTTTAAGTTGGAAGCTATGTCCGGACATTGTCGCAGGACACTGCGACTGGCATCTCCGGCACTAGCCCGGAGAGCTAGTAGAGGATAAGCTAGATATCCTCCGGTCCCTCCAGCCACTTAGGTTATTGAGAACTGGAGAAACGTCGTTTTTCGGCGTTGGGTAGTGATCGTGCCTTACAGCTCCGCCCCAATGAGGAAATTTAGAGTCGACGGCTCAGCGGTGGCAACCGCTAGTTGTGCAATGCGCAACGGGAAGCGAGCGTGCCTACAGCTCCGGTACCTATCTGGAAAATACGGAGGGTACTGTACGTGCACCCGGGGCGGCTCACACGAGCCTCTCGAAGAACCTGATGAAGTCAAGTGACAGAGGTCTGTGAGAACCCTGTACACTGGCTGATCTGGGGTCAGAACCAGAAATTGCAAGGTTCCTGTGCGCGCACAGGTTATAGTGTCCTTCTTGTATGCCTTAAGGGTGGTAGGTAGGGACGGTCACTATATTCAAAACTAACGTAGAAAGGTATGGTGCTTGTCCCCGTGTAAAGTAACGCCTCACCCTGGAAAGGATGCCAAGCCTCCTTGTTGCATTTTGGCCATGGATTCATCTACCTGCCGAAGTTCAAATTGGACGACAGGTCCGTTCCAAGTAGCTGGAGACAGTTGGCTATTGGTATGGATATATCATGAAAAGTCGGAGTCAGCTTAAAGTGACTCCGTTATGTGGAGAATTGAACCACTTGAATCGAACGTTCACTCAAGAAATCCGAGATCCAATTGCAAAGGTCAGCGGGAAGCCCATAAGATGGAAGTAAAATTATGCCAATAATATTTATATGATACATTACACGCCCGGCACGGAGTGCGGCTCGGAAGGGGACCAGAGATAAAAACGTCAACTCACGGAAAGATTGTAGGCCTCGTAGAAGCTTTTGGCGCAGTAAGAGCATTGGTAAGTGGCGCCTCTCTGAGCGCGCTCGTGCACTTTCTGGTGCATTTTGAGCTGCGCCATTGTACCGAACTTCTTTGGGCATTGCTCGCACGACACGGTTTTTTCCTGAAACAAAATACTCATAAAACAGGTTTTGCAAGCAAGATGCTTATACAGGGTGACAGGTTTAACGAGATAAATATTTCAATACTTCACACGTAAGTTGTTGTTGTAAGTCAAAATACAATATCTTGCTTTTGAACTTACTTACCTGCGCACACTTTCCCACGGGTTTCACCCCCGAATGAAATTTCGTCTCTATTTCTAGTTATATATTCTGGCACATGACACGGTGTTACTTTGTAATATGTTGTGCAAATGATGTTATTAGTCGTGCTAAGGTCCTTTAAGAAACGTTCCTCCAGCCTACACATAAAGTCGGCGTGCTCCAGCCTACACATTCATGTTAGGACTCAATTTTGTCTGTCCTGAGCAAGGCATGAAGGGAAAGTTGAATTATTTTTAATAGTACTCTTTACACGCGGGAGTTCAATTTTACCGCTCAGTTGTTCTGTTTCATAGAGTAACCCAAATGAAGAGTGTGTAGTATTTGTAAAATGACACATTTTTTTTCTTATATTTAGGGGTGATCTCGTTCAACCTGTCACCCTGTATATTACACTGGAGTTTATACTTAGAATTTTATATTGAAAACAACTATTGCTGTGATTTTCTTTTCTAATCGCACTTCGTGTCTAGTGCAGTACATACATTATAGTGTATTTAAAATGATGTCTCGAACCTGTGGAGCAAAACTTACCAAATGAGTATCCCGATGTTTGGCCAAAGAGTGTGCGTGTTTGAAGACTTTGTGGCAAACGGCACACGTGAAGCTGTGGTCGCCGTGACTGGCCACGTGATTACGCAACGCCATCCAGCCAATCACTGTGATGCCACAAATCTTACACTCGCGCATACGCGTTGGGTGGTACCTGAAATAGTAATAGATTTTAGTCATGGACCAACATCGAGTATATAGGGTGTAAATTTGAGACGGGGCTGCAAGGCCAGCAGCCTTAATCGTTGTAGTTACAGGAAAACTGAATTATTACAAAATGTATCGTAAAAAGTTTTTTGCGATTTCTGACATTAGTTGATCCCATAGAGAGTATTGATCCTTAACAGAGACCGGATCGAATGGTATAAAAAGAAAGTTTTGTAAAAATTGCCTTTTATCTTGCTGACTGTACCATTTTTTCAAAATCTGTGAATGTCAATCAAACTATCTTCAAAATTCATGGATAGTCTTCTAAAACCGTTTTCCTGCAATTACAACTATTAAGGTGGCTTATGGGTGGTACACCGTATAACTAGAAATAGAGACGAAATGTAATTTAATTTGTATGAAAGATATTCTGCCAAATTATTACATTGACAACTGCGCTCTGATTGGCCAGCTCGAATTCGAAACAATTGATGGGCGTCGTCGATTCTTTCACTTCAAATCGACCAGATTCACTTGAGCTTTGCAATAATGGACGAAAATTGAAAGATGACATAATTTAATATTTAATTACCGATGAAATGTGATTCCGTTTCTTTTGTAATTAGATGTTTTGCTGTTTTTCCCACACCACCGAATGGTACAGCCCCCATAGTTAGAGATATTATCTTTATTACAATAAATACAGAACATTTTTGGAATATACGGAGACGTACACACAGGTCAGTTGTTGGCGCTGTACTATATCAACTTTCTAATTTGTGATTTCAACGCAACGAGTGTTGATATTTAAAAGTGATATAAGGCCCATTTGCCTGATGAGTTGCCAGGGATGGATGGCCCTTATTTCGTCTCTATTTTTGGTTATTTACTCGAAGTAGACCTATAACTCAAGTGGACTGTTAATCTCCAGACCGTAACTTGCTCTACCTCCTTGGCCGGACGGTTACCATGCTGGACTGCCACATTCCCGGGGCGGGAGAAATATTTGTATGACCTACATATAAGCGTGAAACACACTGACAACGGGAGCGGGTCTGGCGCGTGTCGGGTCGGGTGCATGGTGGGTGAAATTCCGTGTATTTACATGGACGATAACTACACGGAATTACACCCGCCGTACTCCAGACTTGACACGCACCCGACTCGCACCCGCTGTCTGTCTTCTAATCTTTCTTTCTTTCTATTTTAATACATATTTATTGCTATGTCAGACATGGACCCTCAGTTTGAAAGAATTTTAGACTCGAAAAAAACAAATAGTTTCATTTCCATTTCATGTAGTAAAGTGGTGGATAGTGGAGATGTTTCTTTATGTGATCTTGAAATACTAATAGCAGCGATGAAGAGCTAATCCAATTGATAACAAGCCTTGAACCTGACTCCTTTTTTTATTATACAACAGGGACGAACAAGTCCTGCACCTGGTAATAAGCGACACATCTGGCCACAGCAGTTGCAATGCCACCAGACCTTTAAATCGCAAAGATCCGAGGGGCACTGCCACATGCGCCTGTAATTTCACAAGCACCCTTAAGACAGAAATGCGTAAGGTGGCCCTTTACTGTTTCCCTGGACGAACTCTTTCACAAGGAGCTCTAAAATGTACTACTGCTACTAAAATGCATGTAATAACGATACCTTTGCCTATGATTCTTCAGACTGCCTTTCGAAGTAAACGCCTTATCACATTCTTTACAGGGGAAAACATTTTTGCCTGCCGCACTCTCCGCTTTCTCTGTCACCTCCCTAGAATTCATTCTGTCAATGGAAAAATATATATAAAAACCTAGTTTCACCATTACGAGGACCTTCTAAGATCCGTGATAGCCTAGCTAGGAGAATGTTTGCGTTTCTCGCCTGCTTGACAAAACGTGTTAAATAAGCATATCGCAGAAGGCTACAGAGCAATACGGGCCGTAATGCGTATTTCTAATTATGAGTGTACACACACGGTCGTACTTTGCGTCCTTAGGGATTTTAACGCTTTCCTGTCTGCTGATACTCCAGATAGCCATGTATGCAAGTAATCACTTGTATCAGTTCGCATAGAGTTCGCATAGTGCGATATGGAGGCCGCCTCCGCGGCGATCTTCACCGGCTGGAGAATTCATGCAATGAGCGATCGCGTATACAATCACCTACCTGTTGATGTCACTAGCGCTCCGAGCACGTCTTCCTTTCGTTTTAGCCTAACGTGGCGCTCTTTTTTTTAATTTATCGGAGTTTTTTAATTTGAAATAATATTATTTTATAGTATTCTATAATGTAATTCAACACATTTGTTTAGTTAATATTCTCATTGACATTTAAGGTACAAAATTGACATGTAATGGAAATTATGAATAATGATCATGGTTATGAAGGTGGTTTAAAAGATCAATGCCCTGCTTTGACCCCAACGGTTTTCTCACACCACCGAATGGAACAGAACCATTGTTGGAGATATTATCTTTATTACAATAAATACCATTGACTTACAAATAAATGGACGACGGGTCTTATACAAAAACCACGAAAAAAATGTCCCAAGTCAACCTTTTTAAACGTAGTGACATGTAAAGGAATATGAAAAAGCTAAAACGTTGAATTCAAATTGTAATGTCATCGCAGTACTGTCTAATTTTGCTTGCTTCGCTGTCAGAAGAAATAAACGAAGACTAAAGCGTGAATGACGCTCTGTATACGATTTTAACGCCCTATAAGTTCGGACACTTTTTAGCGCGGACCCGACGTCCATATAATTGTAAGTCAATGATAAATACAGAATATTTTTGGAATATATGTAGACATACACACAGGTCAGTTGTTTCTCTCGTGAGTATGGGTGTCATTTGTGGTAGCACCCGCGACACAGGGATTCCCTAATGCTGGATTATGTTGAGTGTGTGCGTTATTATTTATTATGTTTTATTGTATTGTGTATTTATATGTTATTATTATTATTATAAAGATAGTCTGTCAGTAGTTTATTCCAATTTCATATAACAATACATTACAAGTTCATGAAGGCTTGTGTAAGGATCTACACATATCTGTACTCACCTATTGACAACTCTGGCTTCCCTCCTCTGGTTCCTCCATATTTCCCTCTCTTTTGCAAAAACAGTTCTCCTCTCATTGATTAAACCAAAAGAGTGCCACTTCGTGTGAATTAGGAACCTCTTCGGATGATTAAAAACGAGGGTACAGTGGGCGCATTCATAGTATGTACCAGGCTTAGGATCTGCAATGCAATAATATAACATATTTTTATCAGTTTATTACATAAGACGCTTTCTGGAGCTATTCGAGTTTTACGGAAATTGACAATACATGTCTACCAGGAGGACAGTAGTAGTTTCTAGCTGGAGTAGAGCACTTTGTGAAGGGTCCTTACCCTTCAAAATATAGTAATGCTCAGATATAGGTAAGGTGGCAGTACTTCCATGGACGGTGTTGGTGAAATTACAGGCACATGGGAGTTGTCAACTTATGTTTCAGGGTGACAGGCGCGGTGGCAGTGCCTCTTGAGTGGCATAGCAAATGTTATGGACAGGCGCGTCATTTACCACTAGTGGCATGTCTCACTTTGTATCATAATAAAAATTACATACCACACACACATACTCACAAGACAAAAATATGTAGGCCATACAAATGTTGTCATTTAATCCGCTTGGGTAATGGAAAAAGGTAGTCACATACACTATTAAAACAAACATTATAATGTTATAGTAAGAATATAACAGATAAAATTTTCACAAAGATCCTCCAGGGTATAATCTTCCTACCCAACGTCAACTGGAAACATTTTCATTACCTGCATATCAAACCGTTGACAACCCTGAAATTCATTTCCGGGACGCAGGACTTGTTCGTCCCGTCACTAGATATTATAAAAAAAGGAGGTTCTCAATTTGATTGTATTTTTTTGTGTGTACATTCGTGAACCTATATTGGTGCTTCTTTTTTGTTGGTAAGGGAGTACCTCAGTAATGGTCCCATCCAATTTTGGAGAAAATATACCACCTTTAAGTGTGGCTAATTAGGAGATCTCAGGTATATTGGATTTCACTAATTCTCTGTTAACTAATTTCAACAAAGAATGGCCAATCCCTACTTTTCTGAGGTAAGTTTTTTTCATAAAAAAGTTATAATTATATTTGACGTTATAGTCACTACTACACACAATATACACAGGAAGTGATTTGTACCAGACTGAAGAGCTTTTCAATAATAATTTTTCATTCAAAAAAATAAAATTTCATTGGTATTTTAAAAACTGTCAGTTATATTTTCAAGTTTTGCTCTTGTTTAGGCATTGATTATATGCAATGACATATAATAAAATTGCAAATAAGCCGAGTCTGTATTTTTCACTGAACAATAAATACAGTAGAAGTGGTTAGTTAGTGTCCGATGCGTACCAACTATAGATCTCGAAAGACCTACATGAGCTCAGTCTGCCATTTTCGCTTTGTATAGTTGTGTCATTCTTTCGCGCAAATTCTCTAAAATCGATAGCATAAATGATAGCTGTACCAAAAATATTACCCATAGTAGTATTTCAAATCATCGGAAAGTCGTATTATAATAAATGTTTCATTTTCTGATTATCTATTCGTTCAAATATTAATCATTCGTTGTAGTCCAGCTACTGGCCGCAAGATGGCAGCACGTCGAATAAAATTTCAATATAAAATCAAAACATTCAAAATCAAATACATACAAAAACATATAAAATCAAATCAATCAAAACTCGATATATTATGTTATATTTAACACAACTTTTTGCACAACTATTTTATACTTCTTATTTAGATATATCTCAAATGTTTGATATTCAATGTGTTATATTTCAATTTTCGTTTTGTTATATTTCAGTCACCATCTAAGTGATACTCGAATAAAATAAAAACATACAGTTTTAATATGTACTGAAGTTATTTGAATTACATGTTAGTATTCGTGTAGTTACATGAATTGATACCCCATGGATATAACTATGTACAGTTGATGCCCATAGATACCATACAATTTTATTTGGTTCTGAGCAAATCAGTGTTAAACAAACATATCCTTTGACTCTATTGCATAACTAGTAAATGACATTTTAAGAAACTATAAATACAAAAAGACAACATAAAATAGGACAACAGACAAAAAGTAAAAAAAAAAAAACTAAATATAATGAGCACAAATGTTGTACTGCATACATACAGTTGTGGCGTATGCAAAAGGACCTCAGGAAAGGATTCAGCTTATGCCACAGCCATAATTACCAGTGGCGCTGGTTTTCAATGAGCCCTGAGTTTGGATGAGTGACGGACATGTCATAAAAATAAACTGCTTAAATATTTGTATATATGCGTTCTTTGTACATTGTTCAGTGTACAGTTACTGCTGAATGTCAGACTTGATGGATGGATCTAAGATATTTCAAATATTGAAACAAATATAATAAAAAGAAAACAACTTACCATTATTAATAGCTAATGTTGCTTCATTTACACTAACACTTGAATCAATTATATTCCGATTGGCAACATCTTCTCTCTGTATTCCATTAACATCTCTATGAAATGGATTTACATAGTCTGTGTCTGTCCAATAGAAGTTTTCTACTTTCACATCAACATACGGTTCTCCTTCAACATCTAGTTTGACAAAAACGCTGTCTAACATTGGTTTTATGTCTACAGTTTCTGTTTCTTCAGTAATATTTTCTGGAGAATTTGATTCAGATTTAATATTTATGTTTTCAGTCCCTTCTAATGGATCATTGTCTTTGCTTTTGTCATTTGTATCTTCATCGGTCTCTTCTAGTTCACTTTGTTGCGAGTCTTTATCATCTGTGGTGTTTTCTGTAGAGATTTCTTGTTGTTCATCGGATTTATCATTACTTTCATTTTGATATTCTATATCTATTTCTTGTTTCAGTTGATAATTTTCATCATTTGTATTTATTTTGGATGTAATAGTTTCATTGATGTTGGTTTCTTTTCTAGTATTATGATATGTGTTTTTGCTTTCTTTAGCACTTTGAATTGCAGTTTCTTTTTGTACATCTCTTTGAAGCCGTGCAATATCTTTTTGTTGCTGTAAGATATCTCTTTCTTGATTAATGATATCTTTTTCATGAGCCATCATTTCTTTTTGCTGTTCCAATTCTTTGTTTCTTGTAGTATTTATTAAAATATCTTCAATCAACCGAACTGTGTTCTCCAAGCTTCTTCGTTTAGTTGTATCCAGTAATGGTCTTTCTGGAATTTTATCTTGCATAAAATCAGAGGTGTCTTCCAGCAAATTGCGCTGATGAAGATTATATTTCTCCTTTTCCATGTTAAACATCTCATAATCATCGCTGTGATATTTCTGGAATGCTTTCGTTGGTACTTGTGGTATGTTTATAGGCAAACCTTTGCTATGAAAATGTTGGTCTAGAAAACTATGAGATAAAGTTGAATTGGGTATATTTTTGTCGAAACTTGATGGGTAATTGAGCATGTTATACCCGTGAGTCGGCTGTGCGTTCAAATTCATGGGGAAAAAACCATTCTGCCAGCTCGTATCGTGGAAGGACGTGGAATTTGGAGGCATGTAAGGCGAGTGTGAACTAGGTGGCTGGTAGTTCGGAAAAGTGTTTATTTGTTGGCTTAAATTTAAAGAAGAGTGGTTGTAAAGAGGATAATCTGGAAGGTGATACGGTGGGCTAGGTTGTTCAGGCGTTTGGTGGGCTATTTTACCCATATTACTTAGATTTTGTGTGAAATTGCCGTTCGTGCTCATCTGAGACATATTTACTGCCCCACTCATGCTTATAGGCGTTTCATTCGGCCCATAAGGGCCCGTGTTTTGTAACATAGCTTCTACGTCACTCACTTCACTTATTTATTTACGTTTACAGTCTTTATTTGTTGTAGAAAATGTAAAATAAACAAGATATAAGAAAGCCATTTTGAGAAATTGACGTATGATTGACATTTCCCAAAAACCGGTAATTTCCAGTCATTAACGCCAGTCAAACGTACGTAAGTTTAAAAAAAACCGTAAATGATTTAAATTAATGTTTTTGTTACATTTTTCTACTAAACTTATACAATATTTTTAATTTCAATCTTATTTTGTGTGCCATTGAAAAGCCTAAGATATTCTTTTTCTCTAAATGTATTCATGTATGTAATGCCTATAAAACCAGCGTAATATGATTTTTTACGAATTTGATTACTCTCTACAAAAATAGATTAGCTACAAAATGGCCACAAACTTAAATATCAAATACATGGTAGATCACAAACAACAAAGAGATACTACGTAGTAGATGAGGAGTGGAAGTGTCAATGACAACGATCAAGCCAACATTATTTTTATGACACTGTATAATTATCATTTATTAATATATATAATTATCTAAAATCTCAATTATTAATATATATAATTATCTAAAAGCTGAAACGGTTCCAACGCAGTATATATCACAGCAGCTCGACTGCTGTAACGTTGGTTTTCAGTTGGAGCGACTTTTATACACCTTTTTATAGGATAAGATGACGTGAAAGTACTGATGTGAGTTAATACTAAAATTATCACATATCGACTGTGAACTGGCAATCGATACTATCTCAATTTTGACATCTTTACAAGTGAAGAAAAAAATTGTTTGCGTCATTTATATAATATCTGGTTCATACATTGACTTACAATTATATGGACGTCGGGTCCGCGCTAAAAAGTGTCCGAACTTATAGGGCGTTAATCGTACACAGAGCGTCATTCACGCTTTAGTCTTCGTTTGTTCGACTGACAGCGAAGCATGCAAAATTAGACAGTACTGCGATGACATTACAATTTAAATGCAACGTTTTAGCTTTTTCATATTCCTTTACATGTCACTACGTTTAAATAGGTTGACTTGGGACATTTTTTTCGTGGTTTTTGTATTAGACCCGTCGTCCATTTATTTGTAAGTTAATGGGTTTATAAAATAAAAATACATCGCTTTTAAATATTTTTATCACACATGTATGTATGTACGTACACTACGTATTTTTAGATGCTATATAAATGATTCTTTATTCACCTGTAAAGTTGTCAAAATTGAGTTAGCACCGGTTGCCCGTTCACAGTCGATATATAATTTAAAATTTAAACAAAATACTTATTAAATCATACTAGCCATTGACGTACCAATGATATTAACATATTTATTTAAGTAATAATTAAGAAAGTAAATTTTAATGCCGTTTTATTTGTCAATATAAACAGTAGGCCATTAGTGTATGATCTATGCCTTTGCAGCAGACCTAATAAAACGGCCCAGAATGGGCCCAGAGGATGGAAAAAAAAATGGTTGAAATGTTGAAATGAGAAAACGGAGTATAATAAATATCATTGGAGGAAACCTCAGAGTTTTATTTACTCATTCTTCCGTTGCACAATTGAACGAATGGTATTTGAATCCATTCTTTTAATTCTTTTTTTTACGTGAAAACATCAACGTGTCAAAGTGACATTATTTGAAATTTTGTGTTTCAGTGCGTGGACGTATTCTATTACCTTTGTAAATATTTCGTAAACCGTTCTGATATAATTTTGTTGCGGTATATTATCATACACGAATTTGTTGAATTTTCGTGTAGCGTGTTGTAAATAGTGTATTTTATGTGAATATTTTGTGCTTCAAGTATTGTCGATGTAAGTTTTTCAATATTTTTATTTGTACTACTATAAAAAAAATATTTTTAAACAATTTAAACGTTGGTCCTATACATTTTAAACAGTTTATGGTCATTGTTTTATATAAATGATTATCTATTTTCAAACGAATGGTGCTTCAGTTGAGTGCAAACCTTGATGCGAAGGCCATTTCTCTTATTTTAAAAGTTATCGTCGTTTTTTTGCAATTAAACTTTTACTGCGTATGTTTTCTAACACTTTTCTTGCAAATTAAATTAAATTGACATACATTACGATATTTTTATGAGTAGTTGTTAATTAATTAATAAATAACTTTTATCGTTTTACCTTTTTTACAAGTTTGAACCGATTTTACGTATTCCATTAAAATAAATTTACAAATTGAGATTGAATTGGAACTATTTAACAGACTTAAATTCGATATCTCTCAATAATTATTTAAATTTTCAATTAATAGGTAATTGTCAAACTTGCAGTTCTTTTTATATTTCTTATTTTTTTTATTATTTACAATTATAAACTGTAGAAATTGTTAAATAAAAACGGTAGGCTATTTAAAATAAAATAAAAATGCTTTATTTCAATAACACATTCTTCTTTACATGACAGTGGCTGGTACCTCCTATGAAGCTTATAAAGCCAGTCTAAGGAGGCCCCACTCTTCCATAGCTATCACATTTTTTTACATATAATTTAATTTTAATTTTTATCTCTCAAAAACAAAATCATTCTATCATAACTTTAATAAGATTTTATGTTTTTATGTTACTATATCTCAAAAAACTCTCCCTCTCTCTGTGAGTGTGTGTATGAGTACGTATGTGTGTGCACGTATGTGTGTGCACGCGTGTGTGTGTTTGTGTGTATGTATTTAGTATCATACACATTTTGTTAATGTGTTTCTTTACCAAATATGAGATAATAAGGTAAGTTACAAACTACAATATAATCTCAAGATAGTGTTGTTTAAATAGAGAAAATGTAGTAGGAAAATCAACAGCTATCAATTTCTTTTATTTGTTTTAAATTTACAGGGTGTTAGATAAATGGCTGTAAATCTTTAAAGAGTTGATGTGATATCCTGATCTGTATTAAGTTAAAATATAAAAAATATTTTTACTTCCTGACTATTTTGTGACCCATAACATGTAACAAATTCTCATTTTTCAAAAAGCTTCCATTTCTGGTTTTATAGTATGTATAAACAAAGAGAAACTTGGCTTTTGTGACAATCCCAGTGGTATATACATAGCTACATAGTGATACAGACGGCAGCATACCAAGTTACACATTGCTGTACCTTGATCCGTTACACTTGAGGAGATATTCGAATAAAAGTTAATGTACTGTTGACTGTATTTACACAATCTTGCAAAACATTTCAAGGCTCTTTGTCATTTAAATAAATAAATAAATGTAATGTTCCTTATTGTTTTTAAGTAATGAGAAACCGGAATTATGTAAATACTGTGAACGGCATATGAAGATATACACTTTTCGAGATAGAGAGTAATTGTATTGTGTTTGCATACGTAAAAATTGTAAAATTAAATTAATTGTACAATTAAATTAAGTTGTTGTGTTGTCTGAACAAACATTAATAATAAAGTATATAGTATGGTCGCATTTATTCTTAAAATCACATTACACTACATAATCACAATTATTAAAATGAATAATAGAATTAAAGAAAGATTATGATTTATGAGACTATGAGTGTGTGCGCATTGTTATAATTATTAATAAAAAAGAGGAATACATGTTGAAGTAACAAATATATAGAGGGTCACAGGCTTCAAAATTTAAATGTCAAAAACTCATTTACATTATAAAAACAATTTGTCACAAGCAATTCAAACAGTGCTTTCTTAAATCTAGATGTAGGTCACATTTAAAATACATTTATTCAAATATCACCTCAAGTGTAACAGAACAAGGTCCATCGATATGTAGCTTGTTATGCTAACTTCGGTAGCACAATGTAGCTGTGTAAACACCACTGTGATAGCCACAAAAACCCAAGTTTCAGAAGTGTAGCTACTCTTTTTTACATACTTACCGTCAATATTTTTAAGAAACATTTTTTTTCAAGGTTTTTGTTGTCCTGACCACAACAGTAGAGTTTTTGCATGGAAATAAAGTTTTCTTAATGTTACAACCAATTACAAAATAATATTGATAACACAGAAACAAAAACTGGAAAAAATTACTTATATAAGTTTTTTTCAAATTGTAATTTTTTTTATAATGTCAAGTGACGGGACGAACAAGTCGTGCGCCTAGATAGTAAACTACACGCCTGTCCATAACAGTTGCAGTGCCACTCAGCTATTTAAATCGCAAAAATCTGAGGCGCACTATCACTGCGCCCGTCACCCTGTAATATAAGTTGACAAGTCCCATGTCACCTATCAGAAGTTCGAAATGACATTTTCCAGAAATAAAGTTTGCTCGAATTTTCATAACCTCGAAAGTAATTTTGAGAGGAAAATGTTTTTTCTTTTAAACCTAACTTAACCTAACCGAACCTAATCGTGTCTTTGCGATAAACAACCAACATATCCTAAAAGAACAATGGCTTCGTTATAATTCGGTTTTCAAGGTAATAAAAATTCGAACAAACCTTATTTCGGGAAAAATGAAATTTGAGTTTGTGATAGGTCACCGTCCCATGTGCCTGTAATTTCACCAAAACAAGGGGACTCGAATATTGTACAGGTAAAGGCTCTGCAGCACTATTCTACATGATATATCACGAAGAGTCTGCGATAGAATTGCATGATTTAATTCCTTCTTCTCCATTCCATCATCGAGGGACTTGAGGCCGGGGTTCCTATGTTGTGGATATTCCAAGGATGCGCCCGAAACGTTTCGTTTCCACATTTATATGGCGAACCGCAAAGTTGTGGAATTATCTGCCTGCAGACTTGTTCCTTGAGTAAGTTGGGCCTTTTCAAGGCGAGAGCGAATAGGCATTATTAAGTGTGCATGCTACATCGTCGCTTTCCATCAGGTGAGATGGAGGTCAAATGCACACTTATTTACTTAAAAAAAAAAGAGATTCATTTAATATGTACACTTTTAAACTTGTGCGTTGTTTTACTAATAATTGAAAACGGAAATACACGCTTATAAAGAATTTAATAGACATTTACCAATTATCCCGACGTTTCGGCGAATTAGACGTGCAAATACCATTTTTTTGTGATAACTAGTAACAGGACGAAGAAGTCGTGCGCTTGATGGT